CCGCTGTCTCCGGCCCCGCCGCCTCCGCCCCGGCGGCCCCACCGCTCGTGCCGCCGGCCCGCTTCCGCTGGCGCCGCCTGTCGCACCGCGTGGTCCGCGCCGAGGGGCCGGAACGCCTGAGTCCCGAGTGGTGGCTGCCGCGCGACGCGGCGGACCGCGGCCCGCGCGACTACTACCGAGTCGAGGACGCGGACGGCCGCCGCTACTGGCTGTTCCGCGAGCGCGGGCGCTGGTTCCTGCATGGCGTCTTCGCCTGAAAGCCTCGCAGGCAGGGGCGGCGAAACCGATCCGTCGTCCGGCCGCTTGAGGCGGAACTCAAACGACAGCAAAATGCTGGCAACCCAGACCCGCAATCGGAGATCCCCATGACCACCTTGACGGTTCGAAACCTCGACGAGGCCGTGGTCGCCCGGCTGAAGCAAAGGGCACGCGAACACGGACGATCGCTGGAAAGCGAAGTGCGCGACCTTCTCGCCCATTACGCGAACAAGCCGACGCCGGCGGAAATGAAGCGCCTGGCGCAGCGGATCGCTGCGACGACGGACCCCGCACGCCAGACAGACAGCGTCGATTTGCTGCGCGAGGATCGCAGCCGGTGACTTGGGTGGTGGATGCCAGTGTCGCGATCAAGTGGTTCATCGCGGAGCCGGGCCACGAGACCGCCCTGGCCGTGATGGAGCGCGGAGCTCTGGCAGCGCCCGAGCTTCTGCTGGCCGAGGTAACGAACGTCGCCGCGAAGAAGGCGCGCCGCGGCGAGATTGCCGCCGAGACCGCCCGCGCCATCGACAAGGCGCTCGGCTCGCGGTTCGTCGACCTCTACCCGCTAGAGCCGCTCAGCGGCGGCGCTCTCGACCTCGCGCTGGCGCTGGAGCACCACCTCTACGACTGTCTTTACCTGACCTTGGCGCAACGGCTATCGACTGCCTTCCTTACCTTCGATGCCAAGTTTCACGCGAAGGCAGAGGCCCTGGGGCTGGGCGCGCATGTCGAATTGCTGTCGACAAGCCAGTTCGCGCTTTCCGAGCCAGACATTGCGGAGATCCTAAGGCTTGAAGAGACCATAAAGCGCACGCAAGACATCCTCAGGGACAGTGACCCGAAAGGCACCGCCCGGCCGACACCTACAAGCGACTTCACGATCAAGGCGGACAGGAAGTCGCCGTCCCGGTGCGCCTTGCGCAAGCTCCTGCGGACTTGGCCGCCGCAGAAAATCACCGACTTCATTGCCATTTGCTCGATCGGCGCGGAGACCCCGGCGTCGTTCGGGACAGCCGACGCGCGCGACCTGGAGGGCGCTCGACACAGGGCGCGACGCCTCGCGGAAGACTGGCCCGGCGGGGCGAGCGCCCAAAACTATGTCGAGAGCCTGATCGTCTACTTCGAACGGGGCTTACGGCTTCTCGGGCGATGAGCACCGCCGCCCCCGCTTACGCCGAGCTGGCCGCGCAGACCAACTTCTCCTTCCTGCGCGCCGGCTCTCACCCCGAGGAGCTGGTGACCGCGGCCAAGACGCTGGGTCTGGCGGCGCTGGGGGTGGCCGACCACAACTCCCTGGCCGGGGTCGTGCGCGCCCACGCCGCGGCCCGCGAGGCGGGCCTGCGGCTGCTGGTGGGTGCGCGCCTGGCGCCGGCCGCCGACGCCGCCCCGCCCTGGCCGGAGCTGATCTGCTACCCCAGGGACCGCGCCGCCTACGGCCGCCTGTGCAAGCTGCTGACCCGGGGCAAGCGCCGCACCACCAAGGGGGCCTGCGACCTGGGCTTTGACGAGATCCTGGCGGCGCTGCCGGGCCAGGTCTGCATCGTGCTGCCGCCCGAGCCGCCCGCGCCGGCATCCGGGGGGGAGTTGGGGGCGGAGTTGGAAGCCGACTTCGCCGCCCGGCTCCGCGCCCTGGCCCGGGCCGCGCCGGGCGACGTCTACCTGGGCGCGAGCTGGCGCCACCGCGGCGACGACGCCCGGCGCCTGACGCGCCTGGCCGGGCTGGCCGAGACCTGCGGCACGCCGCTGGTGGCGGTCGGCGACGTGCGGCTGCACCATCCGGCCCGCAAGCCGCTGCTCGACACGCTGACCTGCATCCGCACGGGGGTGACGATCGACGCCGCCGGCTGGCGGCTGGAGGCCAACGCCGAGCGCCACCTCAAGGGCCCGGCCGAGATGGCGCGGCTGTTCGCCGCCTGGCCCGAGGCCCTGGCGCGCAGCACGGAGATCGTCGGCAAGTGCCGCTTCTGCCTGGACGAGCTGCGCTACGACTACCCGATCGAGCCGAGCCAGGCCGGGCGCACGCCGCAGCAGGAGCTGGAGCATCTGGTCCGCCAGGGCGCGGCCGAGCGCTACCCGCCCGCGCTCCACCCGGCGGGCGTGCCGGCGCGGGTGCAGGCCGCGCTCGACCACGAGCTCGCCCTGATCGCCGAGCTGGACTACGCCGCCTACTTCCTGACGGTGCACGACCTGGTGCGCTTCGCGCGCGAACGGGGCATCCTCTGCCAGGGCCGCGGCTCGGCGGCCAACTCGGCGGTCTGCTACTGCCTGGGCATCACCGCCGTCGACCCGGCCGAAAGCGAGCTGCTGTTCGAGCGCTTCATCTCGGCCGAGCGCGGCGAACCCCCCGACATCGACGTCGACTTCGAGCACGCGCGGCGCGAGGAGGTGATCCAGCACATCTACGCCAAGTACGGCCGCGACCACGCCGGCCTGGCCGCCACGGTGATCTGCTACCGCAGCCGCGGCGCCCTGCGCGAGGTGGGCAAGGCCCTCGGCCTGTCGGAGGACCTGATCGGCGCGCTGGCCGGGCAGATCTGGGGCTGGTCCAGCGAGGGCGTGGAGGCGGCGCAGGTGCGCGCCCTGGGCCTCGACCCGGAGGAGCCGCGCCTGGCCCTGGTGCTGGCCCTGACCCGCGAGCTGATCGGCTTTCCCCGCCACCTCTCCCAGCACGTCGGCGGCTTCGTCATGACCC